TTGTGTGGCAGACGGTGTGAGAGAAAGGTAGTTCTTTTTTATTAGGCAATCAGTGAAAATGCTGAATCAGCAAATTGTGAGCAGTGAGTGAGTGAAAAAGGTAACACCGATGTGAAAGCCAATTCTTGCAGGCTTAGATTAATCTAGTTGAAATGTGCTGCTCTCTAGTACAGTAATGCATATTGACATCTGTCCCACATTGACTTACAAAGTCCAAATCCCTCCAGAATACCAACAGTAATTACTTAATATCAGGATTTTATGGGAATTAAAGAAGCTAATTGTTATATATGGACAGAACATTTACTGTCACTTACTGGAGAACACTGTGAAATTGCTCAAAGCCAAGCTCCTCAGCAGCCAAAGCAGCTAGGCACAATAAAACACACAGAAACCATAGTGTTAGAGCATGTCACATTAAAATACTGGATCAAGTGATTAGTCATTAAAAATTTCTATTTAACAATTAAATATTAAGACAAGTCTTCATTTAAACAGTAAAAATACTTCTGCAGTTTCATTTTCAACGTGCATCTTTTATGGAAATGTGACAGACGTAGGACTCACTGGGTTGCTGTTCCTGTGGTGGCTGACTGCTTGCTGGCTCTGGCATGTCCTGTGTTTGCGACTGTGCCTGTGTGATTGTTTGTGTGCTAGTGTGTGGGCTCTGTCCTTTGGCCCAGGTCACCAGGCAGAACCCCGTAGAGGTGCTGGAGCAGACAGACTCCAGGATTTCGCTTAGCGTCGAACAGAGTGCCATTTTCTGCTCCTCCTCTAACATACACAAACATAAAATGTGCTTTAAAAAAAAAAACAAAAAAACAAAAAACAAAAAAACAAAAAACCAAAACCAGGCAATTCAGTGAATGAGTTGTTTTTTTTTAAGAAATTACCTGACATTTGTCTCCAGTTGGAACTCTCTCTGCTAAAGAGGACATTTTTTAGGAGGAAAGCCTGCAAAGAAACAAACTCTGTAACCAAATTTGCAAGAAATATTGCATGGTGCAATGTGCTTTATCTCTTAGACATTGTTTGTCCAAAATCAGCAATCACAGACTAACAGAAACTAATATTTACTTCATTTTATACAAGTAACCATTTGTATGGGGCAGTGTTGGGACTAACGCATTATTAAGTAACGCGTTACAGTAACTACGTTATTATTGTGGTAACGAGCATGGTAACTAGTTATTATGCCAAAACCAGGAACGTGTTACTTGTTACTGGGATTTAAATATGCTCGTTATTCGTTACTTCGTGTGGTGGCTATCGCGGAGCTTCCACAGATTCAATAACATTTGCAAGTGGTGAATGCCAGCAGGTGGATGGAGGAAAAGGGAGGCAAGAGGAGAGACCCGAAGCGGCCGCCGGTCCGAGTGTCAGGTGAACTGAACTTCAGGTAAGAAGTTATGACCTGCAGTCCATCTGGGTCAGATATAAACGAAGTTTAGGTGGAGTTTATTTTCGTCATGCTGACTTTTTCGTACTGCGTGCTAGCTAGCATGACAGAGTTTCTATACAGCTGGGTGGGTGCTATGTTACTGATGTTGAACTTTATTTTGTTCATAAGGTTAATTATTAGAGTTGCCAACCGTCCCGTAAAAAACGGAATCGTCTCGTATTCAGAGAAAATATTACGCGTTTCGTATTGAGGTGAAAAGGAACAGTTTGTCCCGTAATTCAGCTACAATGAAAAAGACACAAAGCTGGAGTTATTCTGTGTTTACGCTGCACAGCTGCCCCTTTTTCCTCTCATTCTCTCCTCTCCTGTTTCTACTTCAATCATAAAACTTATCAGTGATCAGCGTATCGGCTTTAGCGCAGGTGGCAGAGCAGGTCAGCCACTAATCAGAAGGTCGGTGGTTCGATCCCAGGCTGCTTCCTGGCTGCATGCCAAATATCCTTGGGCAAGATACTAACCCCATGTTTGCCTACTGGTGGTGAGGGCCCGGTGGCGCCAGATTAATTTCTAGTACAGCTGATGTTTGCTGGAGCCACAGCTGTAAAGCTGCTGGTCATGATGTCAGTTTGGTTATGTGGTGAGAGGGAAACATGAAGATGAAACCAGGAGACGTCCTTACTGAATCATCAGAGCTGAACAGGTGATGGAGAAACAGGTTTACCTTTTAGGTGACATGAATGAGTTGAAGGGAAGTTATGAACTGTTTCTGAGAGACAAACAACACCAGGATCCTTTTTTTACTTAGCTGACAGCTGGTAACTGTGCAGGGGCGGGTCTAGCAAAGTGTTGCCATGGGTCCATGTAGGGCATTAACGGGGAAAGGGGGGCACAAGGAAATACTTTTCTTTCTTATTCTCATTTAAAATGTCTAGCTTTTAAAAAAATAATTATCTGAGTTTTTACAACAAACGATTGATAGATTGATGCATATATATATACCATCAGAACAGTGTACATCACTGTCACAACAGCGTTTGTTTTCATTCAAAGGCTTTATGATTTTTCCTATAATGGTGGGCTAGTCATATTCCCCGGGACGATTTTTTTTTTGTCCCAGTCCAGCCCTGTATGCAGCTCATCTGCAGTCTGGTGTTACCTACATCTTCCTATTCCGAAGGCAGAATTTCCGAGTTCTGAGTACAATCGAAAGCACCTCGACTGCAGTTTTTGTGTTGGATGTAAAAAGCAGGCTAGAATCATGCGGCGGTCAACGACGGTCCAGGCATGGGATTTCTCTCGTGGAAATGTGCACATTATTTTTTTTCCTTTCTATTGGTAGGTGGCACAGTGCACTTGTGGCAAGTAAGCAAGCTAGAAGACTGGCAAACTTGCTGGGTATCCAGTTACGGAAGCAACACATTAACAAGAGAATTCTGAGTAAAACCAAAGTTACTTTCCCTAGTAACTAGTTACTCTGAAAGTAACGAGTAACTTGAAGTAACTGAGTTACTTTTGATAGAAGTAACTAGTAATGTAACTAAGTTACTAATTTAAAGTAACTTACCCAACACTGGTATGGGGTGGCCAGTTATACAAATTTTATTTTTGATCAAAACAAGATGGTCAAGATTAGATTTTTCACAATATTTGTCTCACTTTGTCTTCTTTTATAAATCCAGTGTACCTTTTTTCCTCATGATGGGATCTATTATACTTTTCCTTAATGGTGGATGTTTACATAAAACAAGGAATATGTTTCAAAATGTGAGGTCAGCATATGTGCATATAACGCCTCTTAGCTAAACGCTCAGGTGCTCTAAAGTGAGCCACACATGTCTGGCTGTGAGTAGCCCTACCTACTGTTAAATAACACTCTGTGTTTTAAAACAGAAAATTGTGTTCAAGGGAGGGTAAAAGTGGCTAAAAATGTTTTATAGAATGTGGATAAACTGAAGAGCTACACTACAGCCCAGTGTAAGATAAAATACAATTATTTTAAACTATAAGTCAAACAAAGCTATTTTTGAGACGAAGACCACATCTCCTTTAAAGCAGAAAACCTTATTGTCATCACATAACAGTTGGGGCACATTTAGTTCAGTTTGCATTTATTATAATCTCAATTTTAACCAAAATAATTGCATACAGATATTTTATCATAAATGAGCAGGACAAATTGTCAGAAGGCTGAATACGATCTTACCTGGACAGGTGCAATTACAGCACAGGGCCCTCCTTCAAACTGCTCCAGTGCTGTGAGCTCACTTTCACTAAAAACAAATCCTGTGATAAACAGCAAAAAGATTTTGTGTCAATAACAACTTACAAAAACAAAACAAACAAATGGATATCCAGCTGAAGATCTGAGGGCCACAGACAAAATCAGGGCGTAAACCTCAACAGGCAGGTAAGTATTTATACTTTCATTTTCAGTATTTTACATTTTAACTTTGTTTCAGCTAGAATTTCAAACAAAATCACTGCTTCCTGTCTTTTGGTCTTAAAGTCTGGATACAGTGGATTATTGCTTCATACCCCTTTTGGGGGAAATTAGTTTAAACTCTTATCAACATACTGAGAAAAAGTATCATACCTTGGGCCCATCTGCGGAAAATGGAGACAGACACTCCACTGGAGGGTCTCCCCCAAACCAAATCCACCACATCTTTATTTAACTCTGACATGTTAGCTTTCAGTGTTGGATGATCCAAAGTCAGTCCCTCTTCAGTCCAACAGCCAGGTGGAGAAAAGATAGGTCTGTTTACGCCAACTTGCTTTTTCCTCTTGCTGCTGACAGTTTACTTTCCCGGGCAGGTCGAAACCTGTGGCATTGGCCACAAGCTGCCTGTACACGACAGCCTGACTACAAGTACTGACAGCACACTGGCGGGTAGGAATGACATCAACGTAACCACAGAAGCCTACCAAGTGATAGAAAAGACACCGTGCAGTTTATGAGAAAAACACATATTCATGTTTCGGTCTGTGGCGGAAAATGTCCATTAGGAATGGCAGATTACTTTCATATCCTCGATGAAGACCAACTAGTTTTTTACTTTGGTAAATGAATACTAATTTATACTTCCCGGGGTTATAAACCAGCTAAACATCTACCAGTTACTTAACGGCAATTTAAGAATCGTATATTAAAAACTGATAACTAGATAACAATTTTCTTGTTTTTGGCGACGTTGTTACCTTGCAAGACATTTAAGAAAATAATGCACCAAATTTTGATCTTAAGAACCGAGTTAGTTTGGTAATGTCAACAGTTAGCATTAGCATCACTACTAGCAGCTAATTTTTCATTGCTTTGTCACTCATTTACTTTGCACATTAAAACGACGGCTAGAATCGTTACATGAACTCGTAGGTTTTCGTTAGCTTTATATTAGAGGCCTTAATTACCTTAATACACAGTCCGGTAATGGTATCCTGTATTGATGAAATTTTCTGGTAGCAATTTCACCGTCAACCGCGTCTCTGTCATTCGTTTATTTACAACGGAATTGTGTGGGAAAAAGAGAAGAGCGTACAATTGACGTACTTGCCCATTGGTTGAAATCCAGAAAGTTCCAGATGCGTCAAGGGCTGCGGCGTCAGCGCGTCGCCTCAATAGTCTAGAGACTTGTCAATCATATTAAAGAACCCCGCCCATAAATGGAAAGTGGTTTAACCGAACTAAAGCTCTCCTTAGCAACTTGGAGAAAAAAAATATCATTATTAAAGTCTCGGAAATCTTCTCAATTAAATATTTTTTAAATAAACGGGCTCATACCAACAGGCATATAAAATATCCTCGTTCAGCGTTTCATTTTACCAGCTTTAGTCAGGACCTTTGCTTTTTTGGCCGCTACCCCTCTCCGTAGGAGCAATAGAGTCACCATCCGGCGCATGTGCACTGTATACTTTAAGCTAACTTTAACTTACTGTCCACGCGTGTTTAGAGTCTCACTTTGGGAAAAGTGGGGTTTGAAACCAGGGATTTTAGAAATATACGACGCGTTTTTCTTCAGAATGGGTGGTCAAGCTAAGGGAAAAAAGAAAAATAAACCGAAGAGGAAAGATAACCGTCCAAACAGGGGTGAGTTCACTGGTTTATCATTTTATTTACTGTGTATAACGTCAAATTCGTACACACGTTTATAGAAAGGAAGAACTGTTATGTTTTGTTTTGAGTGCAGCTCTAATAAGAACTATTGTTACACGTGCACTTGTGACATCTCAGCAGATGAAGGATTTGTTGGTTTATCACCTCAAGAAAGGATGAAGGTAAGAATGCAAGAAAAAGCCAAGAAGAAGACAGCGGAGAAGTACTCAGTAGAGCAACTCCTACAGAAGGTAATGTTTACTACATATCCACAACAAAGGCAGGACCCAAATATGTCATTGCCTTAATATCCTTTTATTCTTTAAATTCTAATCAGCTACTGAGCTTTCCTTATGTACTGTGGTGTACAGACTGAAGAATGCATGGACAGTTTTGACTTTGAAATGGCCAGCCTTTTCTGTCGAAGAGCCCTGGATGTGGAGCCCACCAACCTGCAAGTTCTAGACATGCTGGGACACGTTTCCTCTGAATTAGGAGACACACAGAAAGCTAAAGAAATATCCTTTCTCGCTGCTTGTGTCCATAATTTTGTAATTTCACTACACTGCTGTGATAATTTCATTCTACTCTAATGCAGTGATTGTTGTGGCTTTCTTGACTCCCCTCTCACGTATTTCTACGTGCTGTGGAGCTTAGCCCAGATGTTGGCCACAGTAAGTACATGTACCTGGGACAAATCCACACAGGCCGGGAGGCTGTGGACTACTATACCAAAGGCATACAAGTCCTACTGAATACATTGGAGAAACAAGGAACAACAACAACAACAGTAAGTGATTACACATAGGACTACCCCTCTCTGTTTCTCTGGTTATGGAAAGTGAACTAGATGTCATGACTTTGTGTTCAAGGCTCCTGATTTTTTTTCATTTTCAGAAGAGGGTGCTATTGGACAATGCATGTCTTAGTGACATGCATTGTTATGACAGATTTATGTCAAACCTATAAGCATCCTGTTGTTTAACTGTTACTGCAGACCTGTATTACTAATTTTAGATATTTACAAAACACTTTACCGACACTACAATGCACTAAAAACTATGAACTGTGAACTCAACTTTGAAACAAAACAAATTTTACACCGAAAATGTGAAAGAGTAAAATGGTAGTTTTGGAAATGGTCAGATGATGGTAGTTTTACAACTTCTGTCTTTTTTCCCCCTCAAATATAGTTATTTATTTAAAAAAGAAAATATTGCTCATTAAGCTTTTTGCAAAAGCAAAGATAAAATGTTTTCTCATTTAGAGGACATAATAATGTGCCATGCATTACAATGTTAACATTAAATTAGAACACATGGAAGGAAAATAGAATAGAAGAATAAGCTTAAAAAGGTTAGGATACATTGTATTAATTGCACATGTATTAATGGTCAATTTTACATTCACTTATTCAATATTGTTGTTGTTTAACTTTGTGACACCATGTTTATTAATATCATTGTGAGGTCTCTTTATTACTCTCATTCAGATGTCTTAAATATATTAGCTAGAAGTGTCACTTCTAGCTATATAAGTGTGTCAGTACTCAATAACTGTGACAATGAGTCAACATGAACAGAGCAATGACTCTGAAAGTAAATTGGATAAATTTAATTCACGCAGTTTGCAACTCTGATGTTACTGCTTCCTTCCTGCTGTGACATGTTAATATGATTTCAGAGGAAAAGGCTTATTCAGATGGTGTCCCTTTTTATTCTGATCATTTCAAAAAGAAAACCTGTCTTAGATTCTGTTTCATATAAGTCTCGTTCAGTCTCTTTTGATTTGTAATGAGTAATATGAACTTTAGAAACTAAAGAAGTCTGCCCTTTGATTCATTCAGGCTCTGGCTGGAGCTGCTGCCCCACCAGATGAGGACCCCGAACTCCCCACAGAGAAGGATGTTAGTGTAGCCTACTGCTCCATCGCTGAGATTTACTTAACAGACCTCTGGTACTGGAGCACACAGAGTTATGCACTTGACACTGATAGGCCTGCCTTTGGTAATATTTTGAGATTTTCTTTTTCTGTGTGTGTGTGTGTGCATGTAGCATGGAGGAGGGGGCTGCCGACAAGTGCAGGGAGTTCATAGAGAAAGCATTACAGTATCGCCATGACAACCCAGAGGCTCTACAGCTTATGGCCAGTTACCTGTTCAGTACAGAAAGAAACCAGGTCAGTCCTCTCTCTCTCTCTCTCTCTCTCTCTCTCTCTCTCTCTCTCTCTCTCTCTCTCTCTCTCTCTCTCTCTGTCACGCACACACACTTGAGATGAGTTATCACCACATTAAAGCGGGAATCTGCTGAGTTAATAATTCTGAGCAAATTGAATCGTATGCGATTAATCAGCAGATGGACAGGTCATGCCGATAGGAATGTTAATTACTGGGCGGATCATTAAGGTCATGCAGTCATCTGCTAAAAAGAGAAAAGATGAGGGAAAAGCATATTGGACTAAATTTAGAAAACATTCCACAGGACCTTTTGAGTGTAACATTTGACAGTGAGTTTAGAACAATATCCTAAATAAACTTTCTGTATTTTTACATTACATGTATATTTGTGCATGCGGGAGACATTGCTAAATGAAGAGCATCTTAAACCACTGTTAATAGAAGGCATTCAAGGCAAAGGCTTTTTTGAAAGTATTTAAACATGTTTATTGTTTACTTGAAATGTAATCTAATTGAAATATGGCCTTAAATTACCACGTGGAAGTATTTGTTGGCAGTGCTGTCTGCCTCAATCATCCTCAACATGCACTGCTGATACAACGAACAACATTCAGTTCACCTACCACTGTTTTTTGCAAGCTATATGTAATGGGCATTTTCAAACCTCTGTACTGTCTCTCCATACTCTCCATGCACTCATATCACCAAACTGAGCAGCGAAGGATCTGTAATACTACCTGTAAGCTGTAGGGGTCAGGCTGGTTCCAGTCTCACTTCACACCTTTCCACATCCTGTGACAAAGTCTCTTTTTCTTTTTAATTTTTTCTAAGAAACAAGAAAAAATAAATTGTTCCCAAATTAATCCAGGGGTTCTTGGTTTCTGTAGAAAATCCAATAGCTAGTCTGTGGAAGTAAATTATACAGTGGGATTAGTCTGTAGGAACTGATTTGTGTGAAGAGTGCATTCTCCAATTACTAACCCTTACTCCTTACTTACTCCTAACCCTTGCATAAGAAATGAAATGCATATTTTTTATAAAGCTTTTTATATTTATATGCTCTTTTTCTGTGTTCAGGAAGGCAAAGATTACCTGTTGAAGAGTGTTGGAATGTGGCTACCTGCGCTTAAACAGAGAGCAGCTTCGTCCAGCGCAGGGGAAGACATTCAGGTAGGCTGTAGCTGTGGGCTGGTATTTGTCTCACTTCCACCAGCCCCAGTAAGATCCTGGTTTATTTATAAAGCCCCTTTAACTAACAAGATTTTCACAGCATGCTATGCTTTATGCGCAAATATAAGGACAGCTGTACAGATTAAAAACAAAAAAGTAAGAGATAAAGAGGGAATGATAGAAGATGAAAGGTGGAGCACAGACTTCACAAACCTGTATGTATTTGTGTTAGAGTGCACAGAGAGAAAGCAAATAATAAATTCAACACCAGGAAGGGTTTTAAAGTATAAACAAGCAAAGTACAACGTGGAAATTGATAAAGGAAAAATGGCTATAATGTCAAAGCTGGATGGGCTTTGAATAGCTCAAAATAAATTGCAGATTCAAATAATAAAAAAAGTGATGTAAGAGGGTTTGGTGTGATGATTTGATACAATAATCCCAGTGACACCACTCTTATGACTCTTATCTTCGGGAGCAGGTTGATGTGAACACAGCCTGCTGACACTTTGGCTGTGATTAACAGCCACATAGCTGAAAAACGTTTTGTACCTTGAAATTGGATTGTGTTATTATCAGACAAAAGAAGAACTATGTTTGTGGATGCCTGTGAAAGCACTTACTGCAGAGGTGGTTGTATTGTCCTTGTTTTTTGTCTTCTTTCTTTCTCTCCTTCAGAATGAGATCCCTCCGTATGAGTCTCGCATCACCACAGCCAAACTGCTCATTGAGTCAGAGGAGTACGAGGTAAAATGTTTGCTGTGTCGTGCTCGTACACTCCCTTGTTGTTGTTGGTCTGTGTTTGTTTCGTGGTGGGAGGGCAGCCTGGCATTTTTTGTGTGTGCGCACATCTGTGTGTTTGTATGCTTTCCTTTCTGGTGAATAGCACTGAAGGTGGGAAGGCCATGCCTGGTCTTTATCCCCTCTGGAGTTTAGTGTCAATAATTGAAGAGTGGTATTTACAAAAAGGGATAGGGCTAAGGGGGGCACACAAGGGTGGAGGGATTGGGAGGAAGAGTAAAATAAAAAAAAAATAAAAAAATTGAAGCTGTGGTCTGATGAATTGCGGCCATATCTCGAAACAGCATACTTCTCTACTAAATCACTCAGGAATTTCTGGTATTAATGGCTTTGATTTCAGTGGCTCACTGCCTTCAGTTCAGTGCTAAAACTCCTAACGCTGTCATTAACGCTTGAAGTCATTTTCGGTGATTACCGCCACACCAACAGCAGTTTAGCTACTTTCTATTGTGATCCAATGATTAATTTTCAGTCACTCTTGTTGGGTGGTTTATGGTTATTACTTACGGGAAATGAGAACAGTGTCCTTTCCCCCCGCCTTTTTTTTTCTCCTCTTCCCCCTCCTCACACCCAAATAGCTCAGCTGAAGTTATATCTTTGGGTGCATGTGTGCGGGAGATGGGCTGTCAGGTGTATCAGTAAAATGACAACGTCTCGGTCCACAGTTTCTGACATGTCGTTTGTCTTCATCCTGCTGTTGGTGTCATGAAACCCGAACCACAAACCGCACCCATTCCTACTGCTTTATAACGTCAAATATTTTGCCATGTGCTCAAGTATGTGTACACACACACACACACACACACACACACACACACACACACACATACACACACGCACGCACGCACGTGAAGGGCTATTTGGAGTTTCTGGCAATTGCATTTAAGGGTGAAAGTAGAGTAAAGGCAAACAATTTTCTGTCTGTCTCTCCCAGCCTGGGATTTGGGACTTGGATTTGATAGGATCCTCTCAGCTCTTTGCTTCCGGTACTTCTCTGACACACATACTCACACACACATTCTCTCACTTTCACATTTAGCATCTCTCACTTAGAAGGATCTATGCACAGTTTTATGCTCTTTGTAAACTTTGCGTAAAGTTGTTTACTTCCAGTAGAGTTATTAGTTGGAAGGCTGTCTTTCGAAAATGGTGCCAGAATATAACCAATTGTCTCTTTCTCCCCATTGAATAATTTGTTTGGTCCCCAAAACTGGGCCAAGGCTTTGAAATTTGCATTAATATATTTGCCAAAAAATAACCCCAAACATATTAAATAATTTTTTTTCTTTGTTTGTTTTCTGTAACTGCATACAGCAACGTCTAGTAAATAAATGTTAATTTTAGAATGGCACAAGGTGTAGCGGTACTACCATGTTCTTTGGCAGAAACTTCATCTCATGGTCTTTGTCTGTACTTTTGTGTTATGTGGATTGAATTCAAATTAACTAGGCCACAATAAGGCAGTGTTAGTGTGGTTATTATAGTGCATAGTGGTGGGAAATAGAAGTTTACTCAAAGTCTCCACTCTTCCCCAGAAGTCTCCACTGTCTGGTCTTATTTTCCACCCCACAAATTCAGATCAGCACCAAAATTGAGCGGGTTCTTTCTTTGCCTTATGCTCTATCTCCCTCCACCAATTCTCATCAAAATGAGAAAGATTTTGCTGAAAAACACTGGGAAGATGTTTTCAAGACAAACTGTCTTTAGTGGGTAGACACTGTCACATCTCTTGGGCACTTTACTAGGTCATAGACCCATCTCCCCACCGTCTTAAAACTCAAGGTTTCTTATGAGGGTAGGTGGTTGTCATTAAAAAGCGTCAGCAATAATAATGTCAAACTCAGAGCATGTGCAAATATTACAGTTTATTTATTTTTAAAATACATAGTTATCTTTTATAATAAAAATTTTGTCAAGACTGTGGCTTTCAGTTCTTTTTTGGAGGAAATCTTTAAAAATAAAAAACCTTTGCCACATGAAAAGCTGAATGTGATAGTAAATTTGACTGAGAAAGGGATAAGAGCATGAAAACCATGACATAGGCTGGTTGTACTTGTGCTCCATTGTGCGATTGTCTTGTTTACTTTAAAAAATGTGATAGAAAACATACCAAACACACCGTGTTAATAAATTCATGAAAACATCAGTTTCACAATTGCTGCTCTTCTCTTCAGTCAACTGTTTCTGCAAAACATGGATCTGTGCCACTTAAATTAGAAGAGGAGAAAAAAGTCACCAAAAAGGCTTTTGCGAGTCTTTTTTTCCTCCCTCTTTTGATTAGTTGAATAACTGCCAAGTTTGTTTGTGATTTCCAGAATGGAAATAGATTAAGAGCGCACGAGGGTGCTTGAAAGCAAAAGAAGTGAGAAGTGAGACAAACGTGTTGGTTTTATTGTCAAATATCCCCATATTTGTGAGAGCGCTTGCAGTGCTTAAACAGGTTTGTTATTGGTTTGATTGATGGAAAATTAATTAGGTTTTCATTTGGTTTTTGTCATTTGTCTTCATTAATGTTTGGTTCCAGCGTTTAATATGGGATACTTTGCTGCTGTTAAAAATCTTTAATCTGAATATATCTGATATTTTCAAGCAGTTTGAAGACCATGTTTTCTGAGGTTTCCTGATGTTTTATAGAATAAACTCTAAACAGTTTAATGCAATCAGTGTGGAGATGATTGGTTGCTTACTTGTTTGTTTATCAAGCAAAAATACCAACTATCATATGGTGCCCATCTTTTCCAATATGAGGGTCTCTGTAGTATATGGTAGGAAATATCATTAAAATAGTCACATCAGTCTTCAAGTTTGTTGACCTTTGAATGGGAGTGGGGGCATCAGTGATTTATAGGAATTATGTTAATATATATATTATTTACATACATAATTTATTTTGCTTTATTCTTCTATGGCATAGTTTGCACAAGGTGCTGCAAACATTTTAGACCAGACATCTCTGAATCTGCTGTTCCATCCCACAGGTGCTCTGTTGGATTGAGAGCTGTTGACTGTGGAGGCCATTTGAATGTATTGCCATGTTCAACAAACCACTGGGGTACACCGTGTTGTTCACATAAAGGAATTTACATGGTCACTAACAATACTTGGGTAGGCTATGATATTTAAATGAGGCTCAGGGGCCCAAGGCATATCAAGAAAATATCTCCCACACAATACACCACCACTTATCTTAGCATATCTTATCTTCTCATCAGACCAGGCTGTGTTTTTTCCAATCCTGGGTTGTTCAGTTTTGATGAGACTATGCACATTTTCCGTTTCCTGTTCTTAACTGACAGGAGAGACACCAGGCCTGGCCTTCTGTTTCTCTTCTGCATACTTTGGGTGTCATAAGTGGTTGTTTGAGTTACTGTTGTCTTTTTATTAGCTTGAGGCAGTTTGACTATTCTCTTCTGATGTCTGATATCTCATCAACAAGGCATTTTCTCCCAAAGAACTGCCACTCACTGGATATTTTCCTTTATCGGAGCATTGTCTGTAGCCTAGACACATTTGTGTAGGAAAATCCTAGTAGTTCAGCAGTTTGTAAAAATACTTCTGGCACCAACAACCAAACATTACAAGTCACTTAAATCACCTTTCTTTTCCATTCTGATGCACAGTCTGTAGCCTCAATGTATATCATTGGCTCATTAGATATTTGCATTAACTAGCAGTTTGAACAGGTGTGCCTAATAAAGTGGCTAGTCAATGATGTATTTTATAGTCTTGATTTAAAAAATCAAAAAACAGCGTGGTGACAGCGTTTTCCCTACTGTAACACGCGCACAAACATTACCGTGATCACCCATCACAACCACTGATTCACTTGCCACACAGCAGACAGACAGACAGACAGGTCCCCTCCCCTGACAGCCATTCAAGTGTCTCTTAGCTGAGGCGTCACAGAAGCTGATGGGTAGTTACGCACCTTGTCATTGTCACTCTTCTTTGGCTGTATTTTATTTATTGAATGTTTCTGTTCTTATATTTGTTTCACAATGTACAGCTTGTACTTTCCTATATTGCTTGCAAGTACAGTTAGCAGTGACATCCCCAGGATTTATTTACTTAAGTCTCGATGCCCCTGTTTACGTGCGTGTGCGTGCATGTGTGTGAGATATAGCTTGCCCTTGCTTGTAAAGTGATTTGTCTTTCTCCTGTCTCTGCTGTGCGCTCCAGTAAAATGATTCTGTTAAACAAAATTGCCTGAAGATTACACAAATGCAGAAATGGATACATGAGTGCGCGCGCGCACACACACACACACACACACACACACACTGTGCACATGCCCACGATGGACATTATAAATGAGTTCCTCCACAGAATGCAGGGTTTTTTTTCTTTTGGTTCCTTCAACAGTCCTTAAAATAAGGAGGACAACATGTATGTATCGTCTTGCATGTGTTATTGGTTGTGTGTCTCTGTAGCGCACTGTTGTTTTTCTTGAACCACTTTTGCAATGTTTATTAAGATTTTTTTTTTTAACCTCTCGTCCAATTTTCTGCCTCCCCCCCATCCTCCTTCGTAGTACAGCCTCTTTTTCTCCTTATCTTCATGGGAATATTAATCTTGTTGTTGTTTAGAGCATGAAGCGGCCTAAGAATCTCTGAATCTTTAATTACTCGCCCCTGGGCTGACCGGTGTAGTTAGGAAGATGTGCAGTTGGAGACGATATAATGGTTATCATTGCTCACTTATCCTGGCTCCCAGATATCTCTTGTTCTATTTTTGTAGCTCCAAAACTGCCTGTTCTATCACTTGTTTAATACCCAAGCAGATCTTTTCTCCTATCTTTTATATCTAGTGCTTGGCTCGATTTACTGTGTGTGTGTGTGTGTGTGTGTGTGTGTGTGTGTGTGTGTGTGTGTGTGTGTGTGTGTGTGTGTGTGTGTGTGTGTGTGTGTGTGTGTGTGCGCGCGCGCGCGCGCGTGCAGCTTGTGTGTCTGTCACTTTGTAGTGATACAGTGAAAGTAGATAGTAGATCATTCTGAAGCTGGACATGAATCCATTCATCATCGGCTGGGATTAGATGTTTTTGTTTGTGTATTTTTAATCAGTCATTAATTAATTAAGGACAATGGTATTTCAGCTGATAATTGGTCTGGCAATCAATCAACTGACTCCCTGACATGCATATTTGCACAATCTTAATGAGATACTCTCAATTAACCTGACACCCCTTACTCTATGCAGCCAACAGACCTCTTTATTGCCACCGGAACCGCATAGACTTAATGAAAAGAGCAGAGAACTCCAACGAGCAGGAGGGGGGGAATTAGGAAGCTCTCCATCTAATAAGACTCCCTTAACAAGAAACAAGTGCTGCTTGTTGTGCTCATTGTTGTGTGCAGGCTTTTTTGTAGTGTGTGACTGTAAAGTGGTGTGTGTGTGAATGCACAGGTCTGTGCGTGTCTTTTATTCTTGCCTTTCACCACGGGTGATTGGCTAACAGTCGCCTCCAACCTGAAGTAGACAAAAATCAATATATCATCACCTGGGGCCTCACACACAAACACATGCACACACATATACCACAACCACAGGTTCCACAAGGAGGGAGACAGAGCAAAACAAACACCCAGCCTACTTTAGTCAAGGTCTGATTTCTGTAATGGAAACTTCCCACAGAAACTGACCCAGACAGTGCTGTGACAAAGGTCACCTAACATTAAACCCCTTTGAGACCTCACATCGCCTCCACAGGACACTACAGGGAGGAAATCAGACAAATGCTTTAGAGGAAGGGGAATACTGGCTCTGGGTTTGGTTGGTCTTTAGGTTTATCGTGTATCCTAAGGAGTGGAGGGGGCTACTATGAATATATGGTATTGACTGCTCTGGTCTTTCCCTGCTGCTCGTCTCCAATAAAGACAAAATGCTGGGAAAAAAGGCAATGGTAGACGGTGGCTAAAGTGACTATCGACTGTGTGATAAGTACTTGTAAGTGTATCTATTGACGATCATGTCTGTTGTCTTGTTGGTATTGACGGTGCTGTGTATGGGTTGCTGACCTGTTCGATGCTTATCAGACCCTCTGATCCATTTGATTGATTGGGCTGACTGGAAGATGTGCTAGATCGTGTGCAACAATATTGTCTTTACCTTTATGCATGTTGGTTTGTCAGTCAAACCTGAGAATAGAGGGAGTACTGATGAATTTCTACAGACAAAAATGAGTGTAGTATGATTGTTGTTTGTAATTTTAATACATTTTTAAAAATGGTAACTATCTGTTTGTCTCTCTTTAAATTAGATGGCAGTAGATGTGTTGGAGAGTCTGCTAGAAGAGGATGACGAAGTTGTCCAGGTAAGCGATGAAGTCCTGTTCCGGCTGTTGTAATTTAAGGTCTTTTTTTTTTTATTCTACTTTTCATCGTAATTATTTCTCTCTCTGAACTTGAAAATGTAGCGTTTTGCTTAAATGCATGTTTTCTCTTTTGTTATGGGGTCTTTCAAACCGGTCGTGGCAGATATCTGCCCCTCCCTTAACCTGGTTCTGCAGGATGTTTTTTCCTGATAAAAGGGAGTTTTTCCTTCCTACTGTCGCCAAAGCGCTTTTGGCATTATATAAATACAACTGATTTGAATAGGAAGTTGTTGTGAGCACATTTTTCTTGTTTCCAGGTTGCTTACCAGCTTTGGTTGTAGAAAGGATAACATTACCACAGATTTTTAGGCAGGATTAACTTCATAAGCTACCAACCTGTTGGAGGTGTGATCAAAAAGTAGCACAAAAACTTGCCTGATTTAAAATGTGCCTTAAATGTAAGACTAGCCAATCTTCATGGTTATGTCAAGACAGCTTCTAGAATGGTTATTAATTTTAGATCAAGTCCTGTTCTGAGGTGTTACTCTGTGATTTCAGCTTCTGCAAACAGCAAAATTCAGTTGCAAACAGCTTCAGATTTTTTTTGTTATACCTTTTGTGTACCTATGTACAAACTTGCAAACAGCAGAAACAGTGTTGTATGGATCAAAGTGTGGATGTGATTGATACATCTGTAAGTAATCCTGCAGAGACAACTGAACTCACGTATTCGCTCGAATGTCTTTTAAAATTGGCAGATGTGAAAAACTTGATTTCAGTTTGACCAGGGAATACAACCAAAAATACCTACCATTCTACTATTTACCTGTCATAATACTGGTGCCAGGCAAAGTGGGGAAAGAAAGCAGCTGAGTCTGAATTTCAGGGTAGTCTGTCCAGACTAACTTTGGCGATTCTTAATCTTAATCCTGAGTTGCCCATTTTAAAACTTAAAATATTTTGTTTCCAATGAGCCAAACTCTTGGTAAATTTTTTTTAACATGGTCTAGAGCAATAGTTCTCCAGGCTTTCTTGTGCTCTCTCAAAATTGTTCTTTGGAGATTGGCTACTTTTTCACTCATTTTCATTTGTTACACCACTTATGAATCATCAAGCATAAAAAAGCCCCTTTACTCAGGGAAAGATCCAGTGTTGTGTATACATATAACAGACAACTTGGCAAACAACCAATTTTAAATTGTTTCCGTAGGCACTTTATTACTAACAGTCTGTCACAAAAACACATAATTTGTTCCCCTTTCTTTTGTCGAATCGATGAAAAATAACAAAGATAACGCAGTTTGACAGGCATAACATACCATTTTTACAACAGCAAGGTGATTCACAAGAGATATTAGCTGAAAAACATTCTCGATATGGTGCGTAGTGTGTCCTTAGAAAAATTAAGGAAGCTGGACAAGTAGAATGCAAAGAAAGACAACAAAAGGACTAAAACAAAAAGTACCTGCAGGAAATGAACAGCGTCTGAAAGTCAAATGATTTAGAAATAAAAAATAAGCAAACATCAAGGACCTGACAAACAAATATTAAAGGTTGCTAAAGGAGGTCATACCAAATATTGACTTTCAAGCTTGTTAGAATTGCGCAAACTCTGTTTTTGCCTTGTATACAGGATTCCCATGTGTGTTTGCATATGTGTCAATAAGTCACTGCACTTGTTACCCATTTTCCTAGCAAATATCTAAAAAATGATTAGAGTGCTTGTGAGTTTTGCTCTCTACTGTATGTGTGCGATAAGATTTGATGTCATTTTTGAGTCCAGTTGATAAGATGTTTATATACAGTCATTGGTCCTCTTGCATACAGTCTTTTTATAATACAGTAGAAACTGCTGGGTAGGTATAAAGCAAAAGCAACTCTTTTTCATTTCAGTGGGAAGGATCATCTCAGTTTATATGCTTAGACAGTATATTAAAAAAATGAATGTAGACTCCAGGTTCGCAAAATTATTGAATTTTGTAAATTTTGGACTTTATGATAAAGCAGTTTGGGCGAGCGTATCTTGTGTTGGCTATAGTAAGAACTTGTCACATTCAGTTTCAAAATGCGAAGAGTGCAATGACCAAAATGCTCACCTCAAGGCTTCAAGACAGAAATACAGTAATCTTTGGATGACGTCATAGCGGTTCACACATCTAGAGCTTAGTTCCTTCTGCTGAGCTCTGTGTACTCCCTGCATTTGCATTGCTTCATCTCAGCACTTATGTGCTCACACATAGAGTCTGGCGCTGAACTTATTAGAGTGAATTGCAGTATTTTTCTGTGCTTTAGTATGAGCTCTGTGCTGTCAGTGTGCTCAAAATCCCCACTGTCGCTGCAATAGAAAGCGAAGGTGTGCCACTAAGTGTCAGACAGAAAAGCACGGTCGTGTCTCTCTCTCTCTCTTTCCCCCACTCCCCCTCAGGCTCAGCCTCCCACACACCCCTCAGCTGACAGATTGAGAGCAGTCATCAGGGGGCTGAACTTTTAAACTCACTTCAGAGACGCACTGCTGTGACACTCAATTTGAGCATGCCCACAGCCAATCAAATATTGGTACTGTCACCAGTTCTGGTGGTCAGAAAGTGTATCGTCTGATCACAACATGGGTACATTGTTAGAGTCATATCTGTGATGTCAGAAATGTATGACAGACACATTTAAAAGCATTATATTCTCTCTCTCTCCCTTTCTTTCACCTCTTTGTCTTACTTTTTCTCTTATTTCTCTCTTAAGTGCAGCAGATAAGAGGTTAGCGCTCTACTCCTTCTTCTTTCTCTTGCATATCTCAAAGTTGGAACCTTACTTATATAACGTTAAGTCTGCAAAAACAAGTGAGCTACTTTCTTGCAAATCTTGTTTCAAAGGTATTCTGTTGATTCATGATGCTTTTGTTCTTCCTTCAGTAGCACCATATGGAAACTGAGATGTGCCTTCACTTTGAAATTTCAATAGTCCCAGCGATTTGATTGACACACACAAAATGTATTTTATTACGTGTGCCTCGGTCTGGGGTTGGAGTAGGACACAGTGGATTCTCTGAAGTTCTTAATTAGCAAACTTTCACATGTTTTAATTCTGAGTGCAGATGCTCAGGCAGACTATACTACAGACGCAAATATTTCACAGTGGACCATCTGCACAGAATTTCCTAGCATTGTTCTGAGTGTTTAAAGACAGGCTTCTTATTTCTGAAGTTAAAATTTTGAATTTAAGTGACCCAATTACACTGTCTCACTTGAATTTACACATTTTATTCTAACTTCTGCATTCAGGGAAATGTTTTAGTGATAAAAATGTCGTACCGCTGAGCCTGCAACAACACTACATTTCTCCAATGCTGCTGTTGTTCTGATAAGTATGGCTGCAGGGGGTAGCCTCCCACTCAGCATGCTGAGTGGCAATTCTGAATTCAGTGTGCCATGCCTTGATGTGTTTGTTAGCTAAATGGTTGATTTGGCAGGGGCGCTGGTCCCTACTGCCTCTGCTCTCAGTGAATAATGAATAAAGCTAATATTTGTGTCTTGATGCTTGAAGAACAGTGGGTGGGTGATCTTTGGCCTGTGATGAGAGGCGATCTCACACCTCCAAGTTCACTGAGAGTTGAACGTGAGAGTGTTTAGAGGTAGAGGATGAAGCACAAGTTAGTGTTTGAGATTATGCAGAGGCAAAAATGTGTTATTGTGAAAAAGAAAGAAAATTAGGTACTTTGGTGTCTTACAGCAAAGTAACTTACAGTTAAAAATATCATTCCCTTTTTGAACTCTGTGGAGCAAATGATCTATTTTAAAAATATTGCTCTAGGTTTTTTGATATATATTCAGCTGAGACGAATCTTAGTGAACTGATTCTAATACTGTGAGTTTGCTAGGTACACCTTTTCAACTGCTCATTAACAGAAATATCTTATCAGCCAGTCATGTGGCCACAGCTTAATGGACATGTAGACACGGTCAAGACATGACTTGCAGTTCTCTGGATGAAAATACCTCGTTCATGCCAGAACTCAGAGGAGAATTGCCACACTGCTTCGAGCTGACTGGAAGGGAATAATAACTCAATACCCAGTTATTAATCCAGAGGTATGGAAGAGAACATCCCTGAATGCTCTTCATTGAAGCAGATGGGCTACAGTAGCAGAAGACCACACCAGCTGCTCAGCTAAGAACAGAATTTGCAGCAGCAAAATTGGACAACTGAAGGTTGGAAAAATGTTGCCCGGTCTGATGAGTCTCAATTTGTGCTGTGACCTTTAGATCGTAGGTCAGAATTTGGTGTAAACAACATGAAACCACTGATCCATCCTGCCTGGTATCAACAGTTCAGGCTGCTGGTGAGGGTTTAATGATTTTGGGGTATATTTTCTAGGCACACTTCAGCCCCTTAGTACCAAATGAGTATCTTTTAAATGTCACAGTTTGCTTCCACCAGGATATTGTGGTGTGACGTGAACAGTGACGTACAGTTCGCTGTGCTCCAATTGCCTCCTAAGTCTCCATATCTCAATCCAGTAAACCAGCTTTGGGATGTGGTGGAAAATTAGATTTTCATCATGGACGTGCAGCTGACAAATCTGGAGCAACTGTGTTATCCTATCATGTCGATATGGACCAAAAATCTCTGGAAGAATGTTTCCAGCACGTTTGTTGAATCTGTGAAGTGGAGTAACATAGTAATAGCAAGGTGTACCTAATAAACTGTCTGGTGTATATGGTACAAAACTCTGATTCATACATGATAAATAATTGTTTTAGCATATTAAGTAATACTTCAAAATGCAGTTTATTTAATCTGGTGTTGTGTCAAAAGATAAAAACATATTTTAAAGCACATATTTGAATATTCTCACATTGATAGTGAGCTAGTAATTCTCTGGTGGGCAAATCAAAAATCCACAATCATATTTATTGGTTTAAAACTGTATGGTATTTAAAAGCTTGACTCAGTAAATGAGTATTGCACAACTGAACAGATGTTTTTCTTCTAAAGCAGACGCAAGTAGTAAGTGGTAGAAAATCCCTCTTTGCAGTTTATGAGCAAGAAAAATACCATGCTGTGAAAACATTTAGACACTTAAAGAAATGAAATGGCATTTATGTTGCATTGTTCTACTCCTATTCACGCCCTTATAAAGGTCTTTATTGAATTTGTACAGTGCTTTGTTTATTATACACTTATGGATGGATGCATTTGGAAGTGTGTGTGGGTGGGTGTGTGGGTGTGGGTGTGTTCTAAGGTGTCGAACCATCAACAGTCTAATTTTTGATAACCTGCTCAACTTCCCAGGTAGGGAGGGGTTTTAATAAGCCTCATGACTGTGACTTATTCACGACTACAAATGTTTTTTGTTTATCAGTTCACTTCATTTAGTGGCTCTTCATGTATTCCCAATGTGTAGGTGATGCATCTCAGTTTGTTTGACTAGTGTGATGATCGTATACTGAGCCAAGTGAAAGAGATGGGGCCATTCAGTTGGCAGCTAGATTACCTGGTTAATTCTAAGAAGGTATTTGGATGTGGTAGCCTAATAACAGCCTGTGCTAAAGAACAGCTTATCTATGATTTAGATGCATTAGAGCTGTTGTTTATCTGTGACATCAGGATTTATTCTGTCTCAGAATAAACCTTTAGGATGTGATTGCATGCTTAGGCTCAAAAAGCCTCGACACAGTAAAGGCAGGGAGTCGGTGTTACTTTATTTGAGGGAAATCTGTGTATATTCTTGCTTTTCTGAGCATTTGATAAACAGAAACATCTATGATGTTTGTGTAAATGATACCCTAATCATCACAACTTCTAAACTAGCAATTATAGTTATTCCTAGGGATTTCTTTTCTTCCTTTCAGTATTGTCGCTTACAAAAATCAACAGATTGTAGAACGTCCTGCTTTGTGAAATATCATGCAGTCACAGATAGAGTCTAAAGTGTTGAGACTCCTTGTTCTTATTTTAGTGTGATAGTTCTTGGAGTCTTTTGCTATATGTTTGGGATCACAAAAACATACTTGTGAGGAATAATAAGGTACAACACTCGAATTATTTGTGGAATCAAACCATATTAAAACCATCATTTAATGTAATGGCTAGTGCAAAACTGCCAACAGTCTAAATTGTGAACATGATATGAATTTAAAGGCCCAGATGTTATTTTCCTGAGGCAATTCATTTTTTCATTATGTTATATTATGTTACAGTTGAGTATTTATTTTACTAATTGCATCTTTTGCTACAGAGAGGGGGAAAACAAACTGAAAATTGTGAAAACGAGAATTTTGAAGTTAATGGGAAGCTACACTTATGGGCTATCATTTGTAAATGAGTACATTATGTCATGATTTTGTCAGGGTGAATTATTATGTGAGTGACTGATTGCCTGTGCGTGTCTGAGACTGTGTATTTCTGGTTCCATGTAAAATGTGCGAAACCCGTTTGTCAAAGACGGATGTTGGATTTCATTCTCTCTGAGGGTCAGAAAATGTTTTCCCCTTGTCGTAACTGACTGTCACTCTAAATCTTTGCACCTCACAACACATAAACTGTCTGTGTCGCTTTGCCTCGCAGGTGTGGTATCTCTCTGGCTGGGTGTGCTACCTCCAGTTGGAAAAGGCAAAGGAGCAGCAGGAGAGGGAAGGAAGAGAAGCAACAGAAGAGGAAAAGGAGGAGGGGACGGCATTGAAGGAAGCTGCCAGATCATACTTGACTAATGCTAAGAAGGTAGTCCAGTCATAATGACCTCATATATATGTTTCTAAGCTAAAAAGCTGGGGTGTAGTGGAAAGAGTGAATAAAAACTGAAAGCTGTCATTTGAAATTATCCAAACCCTTTTATTAAACTTGGTACACAAAGTTAATAAAAGGTTAAGATGACTGCTTTAATGATGCACTGATGACATGTGTTCACTGGCAGTGGTTTTTGGAAGTGTCCCTGAGTCTATGCAGTGTTTTTCATTACACGGTCGCATTTGTTTTTAATGTAGTACTGACTAAAGGTCTGAAGAGCAAGGCAACTCGGCACTGATTTTTAGCCTTGTCCCTTGCTTAGAAAGATTCCTTCAGATTCTCTGCATAATTTAATGTTATGTTGCGTAGATGATGAAATCCACCATTTTTTTTTTTCAAGCACTGTTCCTAAACTTTTGAATCATTTATTCAACCAGAGTTGTAAAGAACTCCAAACCCACCTTAGAATCTGCTTGGAATACCACATAACTTAAATTAAGACGTGTTCCAGCAGGTTTAAACATTTGTTGAAAGTCTGTGTGCTACAATTATTCAGCTATTTGATGATGCAAGTCATTTTTTTAAATGTGCATTTTACATAAAAGCAAACAGGGTTGTAATATGAGCCATTAAATCTAAAGCTCAGTATAGCTGTCAATTATCTGTGATCTCAAAATAAATGATTCTTTGACACTGCACTGCCATTGTAACACATGTGTGTGTACTTCACTAAAGCATGTCCTTTCAGGACTTTTTTTTTTTAACTTCTAGTACATCACATTTATCCATCTTAGTTATCAGAATCCCATGGCCAGTGCCTCATTGTCTTTTGGCCGTATACATGCAAAAATGGAACAAAATATGTTATGGTCCCGACTTCTCAATGGTGATTATTTGTCTTACATTACAGTTAACGAAATGTTTTTCTGGTTCGGCAAAAACAAAGAACATGAAGATGCCACTCTGAGGTCTGACTAATTGTGATGAACATTTCTTCCTATTTTTTCTGTAATTAAAAATAAAATTCTTCCAAATAGATCAAGAACACAATCTTTAGATCAATCTATAATTAACGCATGATTAGCTGCAGACCAATATACAGTTTGTATTTTTATATTCTAGTTATGTGTTTCCTTTCGTAGTTTCTGAGTAGTAATTGTGGGTACAGATGGTTATATCCAGCACACTGTCACAATAGTTAATTCTTCTGAGAGCTGGTTGTCATAGAAAGGGTACATGCAGTACTGCGAATGTGAGACGATCCTAGCTAAGCTTCATTGTTGCTGCGGAAATGTCTTTGTATAATCTCAAAGAAGTGTAAATATACCCCCTACTCTCTTTCCTATTCCCCCTCACACACACGAGCACACTGTCTAATTCATTCTGTCGTTCTGTCAGGGAGTAATGCCTCTATGGAGCAGTGATTCATGTTAGTCTAAAATCCAATAGGCTTGTAAATCAGACAGCACGGAGTGACGGATGGCAGGCCCCACCTCTGATTTTTCTTTTTTTCTTCCACTCTTTGCTTTCCTCTCCATTTCACCTCCTCACCCAACTACACACCCCTTTTCCTTCTCTCCTACCCCACCGTGTTCTTCTAGAGATGAGTAGGGACAGCTTAGTGACAATATATTGACGTCTGTCTCTGTGGCCAGCGGTGTATTGATGGGCCTATCTAACAGGCTTCCACTGGTGATGTCCACAACTGAGATGGGAGCGAGGTGGACTTGGAGCTGCCAAGCAGGAGAATGGAAGAACCTATCAGGATAAAAATAAGTGTGTGCAGTGTGTGAGATTTAATAACTGGGGAGAAAAAATAAAACAATCAGAAAAAAAAATGGAACTGAGAAATAGGGTCATTTAAGTACTAAGCCATTCTTTGCATGGACAAAAAAAAGAATGCAAAGGAATAAAAAGGTGAAAGACTGGTAAAGAATTGGGTGAGGCATCGGAGCATGACAAGTAAACAGCAAAGCAGTTTCTTTGTAGAGTGAGCGAAGCAACAGGCGCAGAATAATGTGAAAGGTAAATGCACAAAGACCTTGAAAAGGTGAGATGGAATGTGGAGGGAAAACAGCCCCCTCGTGGTACATTTAATTCCACAGCTTGGTACACAATGTACAGATGTGTGCATCTGTGCATTGTGTAGCCGCGATGTGCAAACAAAGCTTGGATATAAAAACATTTTTTAATATATCCGAGCTTTGTTTCTGAGCATTACTGTGAGTGTTAATAATTAACGATGAGTCAGTCTGCTAGTTAAAATGGTCTCCAACATGGAAATGAGGCCTCAAAGCCCAATGGCTTGTTTTGGCGCCGGTCCACTTCTGTGCATACTTTATGGCTTTGTCTGTGTGTGTGTGCGCGCATGATATACTGAGCATTCAGGCATTCATAGGTGCTCTTATGTTGATGCATACATTTAATTTAGTTGTGTGTGCCAGCTTGCATGCATATTATTTGTTAAGAAATTGTTTGTCATTCATCTTTTTTCCTGATCGATACTTGTTCACTCTCATGCACTATATTCAGCTGTGAGGCTCTACAAAGGAATGATGGGCAAGAATGGATGGGTCAAGAGGACAAATAGGAAGTGTAGGAGGGAGAGCAGGAGTAGAAAAATAAAAAAATGGGGGGGTGAGGAGGGAACAGATTGGATGTTGGGTGTGTGTAGGTGCGGGGCGTGTAGCTGGTGAATAGTGGCGAGGGTAAAATCAATAGTAAACTGGACGTGAAATGGAATTTGAGTCTCAGCCAGATAGGGTGCGATTGAAGAGGGATCTGCAGTGTATGCACAGAGGACAATGTTATATATGTGTGTGTGTGTGCGTGTGCGTGTGTGTGTGCAAAGAAGCTGCAAGGCAGCTAGGGCAAACAGAGGTCAAAAGCTTTACTATTTGAAGTGTCTGAGACGGTATCCCATGAGCACAGATTGTGGGTAGGATTGGTCTAAGGTGTGCTTGTCATGTAATTTTAATGCCTTTCCCTGCAAGGCTGTGACTGGGGGACTGAGGTGTTAAGTTGTAAGCGTGTGCGTGTGCATATGTGTGTGTGTGAGTTTTTGGCCATCACTTCACATTCAAAGGAGCTCTAATTAGGGGCCAGCCTCAAAACTATATCACAATATTACAAGAAAACGTATTTATTTATGGTTATTTATCTAAAGATGTAGCAAAAAATACTGATCAAAGTTTTATCGATGCTTGCAGACACCAGCATTTGTGTATGTAAGAAATGAAGGGCAATTTTCATCTTCCTTTTCACATGAGCTACTGTCATTGATGGCACGCTTCCTAATTCAAAGTGTGAATCTGTTCAGTCAAGGTACCAGCAGCAGCAGCATTAGTGGTGACTAGGGATGGGTACCGGTGTCCGGTGCCATGATGGCACCGGTTCTGACATAAACGGTAGTAACCAGACCGAAAAGCAGCGCACATTTCGGTGCTTTATTTCGGTGCTTTTTTCCTGAGCTGTGATACACTTTAGATTCTAGCCAATCATTTTACGTTTCCGAGGATAGTAGGCGGGGCCAGGTACGTACGTACGTACGTTCTGTTAAAGCAGAGCTACAGATTAAAAATGCCCAAGGCGAAGCGGTTAAAAGTCTGGCTGTACTTCACAGCAAAATATGCAAACTCAGCAGCCTGCAACAAGTGCTTTAAGCTGATACTGTGATACTGTCAAAGGAGGTAACACCTCGAATCCGATGAAACACCTGGCGACGCATAGCGGTTTTTTTAAAAGCCCAGAAATGCGCCGTATTTGATAGCTTGCTGCGAGACCTCACACCGAGCACATCTACTGCGGGTGGGTTGCCTGTTATGCAACATCCCCCAAAAACACGAAGAGGAGAGTCCTGGCCCCTAGCCCTGCCAGTGTAGCAGGGATGATGACGGCAGCAGCAGCCGTTCTTCTCTGCGTGAGTAGGCTAACCACGTTATTACATTAATGCATGTAAGGTGAACTAGCAAACATCATCATAGCTACATGCTGCTGTCTTCTTGTTTGATGGCAGATACTCCCTTCACCCTGGCTAAAAAGGCTAAAATGACCAAAGAAAAAGTGGAAAACAGTTAAACATGAGAGGTTTAGGACAAAGTTTGTGTTTTTTCCATTGTTTAAGCACTGCTTCCAGCCAAGAGTGATACCATATATGCCCCATAGCTGCAGAAAAGGCTAACATTGATATATTTTTACAAAAAACAGCTGAACATGAGAGGTTTTTGGACCAATTTTGTGTTCTCCATTCTTTAAGCACCGGTTTGAGCACCGTTTGAGCACCGGCACCGTTTCAAAAGTACCGATTTGGCACCGGTATCGGATAAAACCTAAACGATACCCATCCCTAGTGGTGACACACCATTATATCCAAGTTAAATGTAAGCATAAAAGTAGCTGAATTTATGGGTTTTTCTGGAAATTGTAGCACTTTAGAAAAACAATGACTAAAGTAACTTAACCTTGTGAGTGTTCAGGAGCTATGCAATACAACTGAGAAACATTTTATACCTGGGAATGTTTTATCTTTTTAACCAGCTGCTTGAAGCCCTCCTTTACTACCATGTAGCTTCATCAGTAGTGGGGCTGAACGATATATCGCATTTGCGATAATATCGCGACATGATCAAGTGCAATTTTCTAACCGCAAAGGCTGCGATTATACTCTGGACATGTCCAAATTCATGGGCTGCATCCTCCTGAGGCCGCATTTGTAGACAGATTACGTCACAGCGACGCGCCGAAGGCTGTCCAAATTACTACCATATCCCAGAATTCATAGCGCGGCCCAGCCAAACTCCAGTTTCCAACAATGGCGGCCGCTACTAAGTTTTAAAATTACTCATACTAATCTTTCTGGGTCACAAAATAAACTTTTAAAATATTTTCAGGCGAGAAAGTAGTTGTGTAAACATCGAATATCTGCTCGGTTTATCAAGATATCCCATATTTGCAAAAGTGCTTCGACGTTTTCAGAGGCGTCTGCTACCCACCAG